CTCCGATCGCGGCCTCTGGTGGGTGCGGGGGGGGGAGCTGGCGATCGGAGCCTGTGGCTCCGATCGCAACCTCTGATGGGTGCGGAGAGAAAATGGCGGAGGCTGACTCTGGCAGCAGTAGTGGTGTGGGCGGGACCGGGCTTCGAGTTCTTACTGGTTGGACGGGGCTTCGACTTCTTATTGGTCCGAAGATATGATAACTGGCAGTCCCACTGGCCTAACACTAAGGAGGCCAAATTTAGAACGTTCATATAGAACGTTCTTACTCAATTATATATAAGGAGAGATGGGCTGGAGGGCGGGACATAAAGTTTTGGGAAACTTTTTTCTGTTTTTTTAAAATTCTGATGGAAAAATTGGGAAATGTTGGCAAGTATTGAAAAAACAAATTTGATATGAAACATTTTCTCTTTTGGAATGAGTGAAATGCTATTTAGGATAAAGGGGGGGTTTTTGTTCAAAATATAGAGTCATAGAATCACAGAGTTGGAAGGGGCCATACAGGCCATCTAGTCCAACCCCCTGCTCAATGCTGGGTCAGCCTAGAGCATCCCTGACAAGTGTTTGTCCAGCCACTGTTTAAAGATTGCCAGTGAGGGGGAGCTCACCACCTCCCTAGGTATCTTACTGTAAAAACGTTTCTCCTAATATCCAGCCGGTACCTTCCCATCCTTAATTTAAACCCATTATTTCAAGTCCTATCCTCTGCTGCCAACAGGAACAGTTCACTGCCCTCCTGTAAGTGACAGCCCTTCAAATACTTAAAGAGAGCAATCATGTCTCCTCTTCTCCAGACTAAACATTCCCAAGTCCCTCGTCCTTTTCTGATGGTCTCCAGGCCCCTGATCATTCTCGTCGCTCTACTCCATTCTGTCCATATCCTTTTCAAAGTGAGGCCTCCAGAACTGCACATAATACTCTAGGTGTGGCCTGACCAATGGAGTGTACAGTGGGACTATGAAATTTTGTGGTTTCGATGTTATGTCTCTGTTAATACACCTCAAGATCACATTAGCCATTTTTGTTGCTGCACCACACTGGCTGATAATATTTAACTTACAGTCCACCCATACCCCAAGATCTTGTTCACACACTCTGCTACCCATTTATATAG